TTTTTTTTTTTTTTTTTACATGCTATTATTCTTGGCAATTATGGTTGATTTGAAAATAAGAATGGACAAGGGTTTCCGAGAAGTAAGTGATGAACAAGGAGAAAAAGGGGCTGTTTGTGTTTGTTTAGTTCACAATGTTTTTTTCCTCAACCAAATAACGGTATGAAAGACATTTAGTAGATCAATTATCCTAAACAAGTAAATTTTGAATGCACTTATGATAAATTTGAAAGGAGCATTTTTACTTATATTAGATATAAACTTAAACTTCCACTGAATGTAGAGAGAAATTCTCATCAAAACACTAAATAAGAATTTCTCCATAGGTAAAAGAGTATTAATGTATTTTTTTTTTTTATCAATAGAGTTAGGATTAACTTAATAAATGAAAGATTTTGAAGTTTTACATAAATTACTAATCATTGAATTTGTAGAATCAATGACTAAGATGTTAATGCTATGTATTTAGTAGTGTATTTATTAACTTGTTGTCATTTTAGTCATTGGACTTACAAAATCAACGGGTGGTATTAAATAGTGTATTTTTTTTTATCAGCAACAAAAAAAAATTATTTGAATACCGCAGGTACAAGGAATACCTAAATGGCGCGGTTTCCTTGACAGTACAATCAATTCTAGAACAAGCGTTTAATTACTCCTGCCACACCATTACTGTAAGAGTTTCTTTCATAATCAGCTTGCTGTGAAGGTGACTTCTGTCATAATTCCGTGGACAAATGAGGCCTATGTTTTGACTGAATCCAATAAAAAGATCTATCTTTTAATCAATTCCATCACCTCAAGCAAGTTGGCTTCTATTTTCTTGAAGATTAGCTGATTCCTCCATCTACAAATAAACCAAATTATTGTTACACATAAGACAAGTATCCATTAATTCTACCAAATTATTGTAAGTTCAAGATGACATGAGCCTCCACTTGTATGGCTGTAATTAAAAATTCCCCATATGTATTTGGGCCAAATATATGGTAAATTTATAAGTAAATATTTAAGAACATATATGAATGTTACTCATGTGTTTCTTTGTCCTTTTAATTAATTAGTCTTATAATCAAATTAATGACCAACACATGGATAAGTAGTTTTTTTTTTATTAGATAATAGATTTGTACGTACAATAAAAAATTTTTCTTTCTTTTAAAGTTGAAATTTAAAATTCTTAATTTGAAAATTCTTAATTTGAAATCTTAAACTCTAAATCATTTAAAACTCCTGATAAATAATTAAGTATGATTGATACACATAATCATGAATGGTTTGGTCGGTTTATAATCAGACCCCACGCCGCTTGGTTTAATATTTTGTTGGATCGAGATTAATGATTAATGATGATCAAATTCCAGTTACAAACAATGTACTTTGTTGACATGAATTCACACGGGTACTTGAACTTTTTGCGGAAGAGAATACATTCAAAGGTGCACGCTAATTTAATATGGGGCAAAGTAAGTGTTAGATTCTCTTCGTATTTTGATAATGATTTAAAGAGTTTAATCCATTTTATGCTAAATGTGCATTAAAGCTAATTTAAGGATTCTAATATTTTCCCACGATTAGAATCAAATCTTGTCCTCCTTGTTCAAAGTTCTGGGTTCGAATCAATTTTAATTGATTTGAACCAATCTCATAGTTTTTTTTCCAAAAATAATTTGAACCAATATTTCTAGTTTTGAAGCAAAAATTGTAGAAGGTAAGCATTTAACAATTAAATTATCTGTTTTGTTTTAATGGGCCCAAGAGAGATCCAAATGGTTAAGTCACTTTCCAAGACAAGTCATCAGAGTCTGTTATAAGAAGTAGAAAAATGATGGAATCTGATTGGAGCAATTGTGAGGTGGCTTTGAAGAGCAAAACAAGGTTTAATTGCAAGATCTCCCAACCAACCATTAATTAAAGAGAATAAAAAAATCAGATTTAAAGTTCTCCCCAATGGATTTCTTAGGAGACAGAAGAAAAATAGAAATAGTTCTGAATCTTCTTCATCTTCTTATGAGCTTGTTAGGTTAATTGTTTTTGCTTACAAGGGTATTATATTCTTCTTGGATTGGGATAATCCTTGAAGGGGTTGAGTGAATTGTTGAAATTCACTTGTGAGGGTTTAATCTTGCACCCGCAAGCAAGAGTTTGTTCCGGTTTAATTTTGTATCCGCAAGCAAGAGTTTGTTCCGGTTTAATCTTATACCCGTAAGCAAGAGGATCCTAGTAGATTAAACTCTTGAGCAAGGAGGCTTGGGGGGTGGACGTACTCAAGGTTGGAGAACCACTATAAATCACGGCTTGATTTTTTTTTCTTTCTTTTTATTTTTCTACACTTTATTTGCAAGATTGCAATTACTCTTTGTTTTTTTT